GGAGGCCCCGCAGGGGCTGCAGTCACCTATTGAGTGACCCCCCCCCCCCCCCCCGCCGGGGTTTAAGGCGGGGATGGGCGCGGCTGTCGGACCGGTTGTGTTGCTATTCTTATCATCCCGCGGGTGTTGGATTCTTCCGACGCCACTCAGAGTCCCAAGACTGCGGCGCTCTCAACGCCGCCCCGATGCCCGAGCACACCTCCCGGCGGCAGGTGCTCGGCTGCTGCCCAGGGCGCGTCAAGCCTCGCCTCCAGCCCGGGGATTTCGGCCCCGCGCGCCCTTTCGCTTTCTCCTGCCACGTTTCGCGGTAGGGCACCAAGGTCAGCCGTCGCCTTTCCGGCCCGGGCGGGCGGGCACCAGGAAGCCCGCAGAGTCGCCCGGGTCCCCGTTTCGCCCCCAAGTGGGGCCTTTTGTGCGGCCTCCTGGGTTCCCCGCGCTTGTAGGGCTGCCCGGGGAGGGAGCAGGGGTGTGTGTGAGTTGTTTGCTCGCTTCCTTTGCTTGCGCTCCGCAACGCCTCCCCAGCAAAGCTCTACCCCGTTGCTTGAAATAATGTTCGCCCCCCCCCCCCCCCCGCCCGGAAACCCCGAGTATCCCATAAGCTTAACTCCGAAGCCGGCCGGTGCTCGCCCCTCGAAAGCGCCTGGCCGGCGGAGAGCGGGAAGTGCCGCCCCCCAGCAAATCTCTTGATCCCGGTGCCGGTTTAGGGACGCGGAACGGCCCTCCAGGTGGGGGGGGGAGCTCAGCCCAGAGCGTTGAGTGGCTTCCCGCCGGCTGCCTAGCCGCGGGGGTGGGAGAAAGGGAGCCCGGTGGCCTCACTCAGCGCCCTCGGTCGGGCAGCTTCCAGCGCGGGGCTCTGGCGCCTCCACCCCAGATGGGACGGCCGAGGCTCCGCTGCAGTCTCCTCTCCCGGCCTTCTGGGGAGCTGCGCTTTGGGGGCGAGAAAGGGCCAGCGGGCTGCGGGGGAGCCTCGCTAGGCTTTCCTTGCACCCAGCATCAAAAGGGGGAGGAGGAGGAAGAATTAATGTCCGGACTGGGGGGATTGGGGACCGCCCCCCCCCCCGCCCAGCCTTGGGGTCTGCCTGAGCCCCCAAGCTGCCCCTCCTCCTCCTCCTGCTGCTGCCTTTGGCCTTTTACAGGAGCCCCCAAACTATTCTTTGGCCTTTTCATCAGCCTCCATAGAAAGTCCCATTGTTCTCCCACAACTGGGGGAGGGGCTGTCATCTTTCTTTGCCTGCTTTTAGATTGTCATTTAAATTTAGAATTGTTGCCACGTTTGCCTACTGGGTGAGGTGATGGGCTCCTACTTACGTTAAACAAACAAAGGGCTTCTTGTTTTGGCAGGAGGGGCCCTTTGGCAGCTCCACCTCGGAGGCCTCCCCTGTGGATGCGGGTGCTGAAGTCCTGGGGAGGAGGGCAAGGGTGCCCCCGCCGGCTGCTCCTTCTCCTGGTGGGCGCAGGGCCTTGGTGACCCCCTCCCAGGCCTTGGCCAGTCCAGAGGTGTCCCACCTGGTTCTCTGCCCCCTGCAAGGACGGAGGGCAGGGTTACAGGCAAAGGGCAGCCTTCCTTCTGCAGGTCCAGAGCCCTGTGGGGTTACTTCGGGGGCAGCCGCCCTTGGGGACTTGGGGAGGGAAGGAGATAGAGGGCAGTCTGGCACTTTGGTCCTCCCCTGTCCCCAGCTTCAGAGCCAAAAGGCTGGGTCTGTTTTCTGAAGCCCCCCCCCCCCCCCCCCCAGGCAAGCAGGGGCCAGAGACTGGCCTTAACCAAATGGCCCACTTCAGGCGATGTGGGAGAAGCAGCCAGAGGCCGAGTCCATCTCCCCATGGCCGGTTCTGTGGTGGGGCCAAGGCGAGGGAGCCCTTCCTTGGCTGCAGGGCTGACCTGGAACTCACCTGGAGCTCCCAATCTCACCCCCCCCCCCCCCCGAGCAGGGGGGGAAGGCCAGGAGCCCCGCCTGGCCAAAGAAGGGGGGAAGCCGAGGGCCCTCTCCCCTCTGAGCTGCCCCCCAACTCTTGGTCTCCCTCTGGTCACAACACAGAACCTCCCACCTGCAATGGCAGCTGATCTACAGCAGGTGGCAGACCTGAGCAGGCCTTGCTGTGCTCAAAACAGTGAAGCAGGACTTAACCTGGTTTGTCCTCCTGGATGAAGCAAACCATGGCTTGTGGAGCACTGAACTCCATTCCATCCACGTAACTGGGGGCTGGATATCCACTGTTGGGGCAATTTCGTGGAGCAAGGCTGCTTTGGGATGAACACATATGCAGACGCCTCAGCAAGTGTCCCCTTAGCTTGGATTTCCACCCAAAGAGTCGGTGGTTCCTTGTGGCCAGGAGGTGGCCAAAGAGGAGCCGCTTGGGGTGGCATCAGCAGAGTTTCTGATCTAAGCCCTGATGCGGAGTGTGGAAACTATGGAGGATTCCAAACAGACCCCAAGGAAAAACAACCAACTCCCCGGGAGGGGAAGAGGGAGCAGCAGGAAAGGAGCCATTTTGGGAGCACGAAGGGCCGCAGGGGTTGGACTTGCGGTGGGGAGGTTGAGGCCAGGCAAGGAGACCCTGAGAACTGGGGGGGGGGCACAGAGAACCCTGCCTCGAGTGTGGGGGCGAAAGAGCGCTCCTTCAGGGGGGCTGCACTGCTGGGAGAGCCGCTTGGGGGTCTCCAGCCTCCCCCTCATCTCAGCTCTGTTTCTGCCTGTGTGGGTGGGCAGCCAGGCTGGCCTTCAGGGAGGAGTCCGGGTGCAGGGAGTCCTTGAGCCCAACGTTTCTGTTGCTAAGCGAGACGGGGCCTAAGTGGATTTTTGCCCCATTTCACGACCTTTCTTGCCACAGTTGTTAAGTGAATCATTGCAGGAAAGTTAGCAACACGGTCATTAAGCATCATTAAAGCTCCCTTTGACTTGGCCTGTCCGTTGGTCGCAAAAGGGAATCGCATGACCCCCCTGGGAGGCTGCAAACGGTCATAACTAGGAGCCAGCTGCCAGGCGCCTGGACTTGGACCGCACGACCACGGGGAAGGGTGAACCACGGCCCTTTTCTCAGAGCCATCGTGGCCTGGAGCAGTCACTAAATGGAGGGGGGGTTGAGTCACAGACTGCCCGTGTTTCGGGGTCAGGAATCAGGTGAAGGTGGAAGGGAACGGAGTCGGCTGGCGGGAACCAGGATCCAGGCCTTCTCCGCTGTGGCCCCTGCTCTGTGGAACAGCCTCCCCGGAGGTTGGGCTTGGCCTGCTGGCCTTTCGCAGGGCCTGCCAGCCTGTCCCGGGGCCTGGGGCTCAGAAGGCGCCAAGGGACCCCTGCCTTGGCTTCCTTGCTAGCTGGCCCTTTGGTATCTTGTGCAGGCTATTTCGAAGGCTTTCTTTGTGGTTTTTGAAATAGTTTTAAGAACCTTTGGGGATCATTGGCTGAGATAATGGGAGGCCACCTAAATGGAATGGATACCTGTAAGAGGCTGGCGGCCACCCACAGGCCCACCTGGAACTCTCCAGCACCTCTTGCTCATCCGCGGGGCAGCTGGGAGGGGGGCCGCTCCACCCAGCAGAGGGGAGTGTCTCATTGGTGGGCCAGACCCACAAGGTGTTGGCTGCTCCTGCTGGAGACAAGAGGCTTTGAGCCCCCCCCCCCGTGGGCCCCCTTTTGGGTTTTACCGTGCGTTGCTGCAAAGTATGTACACTGAGGACTAGCTGCACGCAGAAACAGGTGCTTTCTTTCTAGTTTTCTGAGTGCCTGCTTAGGAGGCCCAGGTCTTGCCTGTGGACCCTGTGAGTGACCCGTGATAGGGAGACCGGATAGGAAGCCTGGCTGTGGGGCTGAGACCCGAGGAAGCCCACCCGAGCAGAGTCCCAGGGCGTGGCTGTCCCAGAGCTGCTTCTCCAAAAGCTCAGACCTGCCTTCCCCCCCCCCCCCCACCTAGAAAGGCCTGGGTTGAATGCTGGGGGGCCCTGGGCAGGGCACACGTGGCTTTTAGTTATTTTTAAAAAAATCTCTTGTGCTGCTGCTGTTGAGATGGTTGTTGTTTGGGGGGCTGGATTTGTTGGGCTTTTTAGATGAGAGTCACCCGGAGCCATTGAGGAGGAGGATCAGGCAAATTCATAGCACACAACGGAACCTTTCCCGCTGCCCCCTCCCCAGGTTACGCCCACCCTAGAAGCTCCTCCTCGTAGGCAAGACCTACACCAGAGGGAGGGGAGTGGTCTCCCTGCAGAGGCGGTGGGTTCTCCCTTGGGGCCAGAAGAAGCTGAACAAAGGGTCCTTCGAGGTTGCTCTAGATCGGGGGTCTCCAGCCTTGGCGCGTTGAGGACTCCTGGACTTCAACTCCCAGAATTCCCCAGCCAGCATCGCTTTCCCGAGCGACCTCCAGTCTTCCAGACTCAAGGCAGGCGGGAGGGGAGAGTGAGGGGGTGGCTTGGTGGGTATCCACTCGCTTCCCTGGCCCGGTTCTCAATGGGCTGGGGGGGGGGGCTAGGGACCCCTGCCCTAGAGGATCCTCGTGCTCCCTTCCATGCTGGGTGCCGAGTCCTGGACTGATCGCCTTCTTAGGTGAAACAGGGCCCATGTTCTACAAGCACAGAATTAGCCTTTTCTTGACCCAAGTTCAGGGTCAGCCTGTAGTGTAAATGCAGCCTTTACAGCCCGGATGTCTTTGGAGGCCCATGAAAGGTCACACACCAATTGGGGGGCATATTAACGGGGGGAGGGGCGTGGTGAGCCACGGGCCTTCCCTGCCACTTGGGCAATTCTCAGGGCAACCAGACCTGTGCCAGGCTCTGCTGCCATCTCAATGGAGCCAGCACTTCCACTGCCAGTGTGACATCACAGCTTCCTCCAGGTGGCACCCCAATGCCACTGTGATGCACACAGCTCTGCTCTGACCCGTTCCACGGATTGCTGAGCCAGCTGCCCCCCCCACCCTGCTGAGTCGGTGCTGGCCCCTGCTGCCTGGCCAGCTAAGGGAGGGAGGGCCTGGGCATGCCTGGCTCCTTGAGCCCTGCCGCCCCACGCCCCATGGCTAGAGGGCTCTTCACTGGCAGCAACCAAGATGTCGGCAGGGCACTCGGCTTGGAGGGGGGGATGCTCTGCCAGCTGATCCGTTCCCCAGATTACAACCTCTTCCCCAACTCGGCGGTTTTTGAGAGCAACTTCATTCAGGTTGGTGGGGTGGGGGGCTGATCGGAGGGGCCCCTTTCCCGGTCCTGAAAGGGCCCAGGAGGCCGGCTGGGCTGGGGACCCAAGAGGCCCACTTAGCCTTCTGCCTTCACCTTTGGGCAGAGTCGCCCCTCCTGCTGAGCAGGCCCCGGGCTGGAGGAGGAGGGCACCCTCGCCCGTTGCGCCAGCTGGTGGGAACCAGGGGGCGGCTGGATTGGGTGCAAACGGACCGGCTGGGTTAACCAAGAGGGGCCTGGCCCTCCAATTGACTCGGGGGTCTCGGGTGGGTGGGGGACGGTTCCCACAGGTCACAAAGAAGGGGAAATGGATGGACATCACCCACACCCCCACCATTGTGACTCTGGCAGTGACCTCCTCGGATCCCTGCCTCCCTCTCCCCAACGTGCTCCTGATGGCGAACCAACGGGCCCCACTTCAGGGGGTCCACCCTGGCAGTCCCCGGATGTCACAAATGGACCTGACCAGGTGACGGGGGGCCAGGGCCAGGAGGGAGGGCTGGATCAGGGAGGGAGGCAGGTGGGCACCAGAGCGGCTTAGGGGGCCTCCCCACCACTCAGGGTTCTTTGGGACCTCCTGAATGGACCGGGGGCAGCACCATCCCCACAACCTTTGAGGGAACACTGGATGCCCCTCAATACTCCAGAAACGGCCACCTGCTGGTTTGGTCTAAGAGGAGTGGGATCGTGTGAACAGACCCCTGGCCCCCACCCAATGTTGTGCAAAGACCCCAGCTGCTCCTCTAGAGAAGGAGGAACCCGGCCAGGTGTTTCACACCTGCGACCCAAGGGCTGAGTGTATGGGCACCGTCCAGAGCCTCCTTTTGGGCCTCTGTAGCTGCAGGTCCACACGGGGGCTGGTGCCCGACATCAGCTGTGTTTGCATGACATGCTTGCCCAGGGTTACCTGGATCGTGGTTTAGTCCATGGATCCTGAGTTCATCTAACAAACCGAAACCGGCTGCAGGGAGCAGGTTTTGAGACCGGGGGTGTGTGTGTGTGTCTTGTTCTGGGAGGCCCCTGCTTGCCCAAGGGAGCAGCTGAGTGTTCTTCGAGCCCCCCCAGGCCCCTCCCCGCCCCTCCCCTCCCCGAGCTCCTGTCCCGGCCTGTCCCTGACTGCCTCCGTTGCTTTGCCCAGGCTGCTCCCCCTCCGGTACGTCCGGCTCTCTGTCCACAGTGCCTCTCAGCGCATTTTGCGCCTCCAGACGGTGACCAAGACGGTGTATTACCTGCAGCTGCACCACAAGCACCCAGAGGCCGTCTTTGCGCTCTGGAACCGCCTGACCAACATCCTGGAGAACGGCCTCTCCACCACCACCAAGGACCCAGCCATCCCCATCCGCCACTGCCTGGTCTCCAGCCGTAGCAGCAGCACCTCCAGCATCAGCCCCCTGGTCGAGGTAGGTGGCGCCCGCGACCAGCAGGCAGCTGGGATGGACCCTGGAGGTCTTCTAGTCCAGCCCCCGTCTCAAACAGGAGACCCTGTGTCAGTCCAGGCTCTTCTTCAAAGCCTCCAGGGATGGAGCCCCCACGGCCTCTGCAGGGAAGCAGCTCCACTGGTCCCTTGTCCTTCCGGGGAGGAAGTCCCTTGAGGAGTTTCCACCCGTTGCGTCTTGTGTATCCTGCACCCTGAGTCACAAAGAGGGCTGTGGAAATATCTAGAGACCCCTCACATCCCGGACACCAACGGTTTCAACTCCTTCCCTCAAAAGGACGCTCCAGAGAGCATTGTTGCACACCAGAACAACTAGACACAAGGGGAGTTTTCCCCCGAACGCCGTCACTCTGCTAAACAAATCATTCCCTCCACACTGTCATTTACAAAGTCTCCACTACAGTTACTATTACTATTAATCCTCCCATCACTCCTTATCACCCACCCCCTCCCACCTGCGACTGTATGACTGTAACTCACTTGAATCGTAATGATCTATAGAACAGGGGTTCCCAACCTGGGGGTGCGAGACGATATTCCAGGGGATGCGAGAAAAGTCCAGGTAAATAATAGGATATTGGCTGGCATTTTTATTTTCTGAATATAATTATTTTATCTGAATATATTATTTTCTGAAATATAAATTTCAGAGGGTGCGAGGTTCGAGTGAAATTTCTTGAGGGGTGCGGGGCGAAAGAAAGGTTGGGAGCCACTGATCTACAGTGACCGTTTCCTCGCATGATTTGATTGCTTATTGTACCCTGTGACTATCATTCAGCGTTGAACCTCATGATTCTTGATGAATGTCTCTTTTCTTTTATGTCCACTGAGAGCATTTGCACCAAGACCAATTCCTTGTGTGTCCAATCGCCCTTGGCCAGTGAAGAATTCTATCTCTATTCCTGCCTTCAGGGGCTTTGGAGAATAGCTGGACCCCCTTCCTCCTCTCTGGGGCAGCCCCTCGAATACTGGAAGGCTGCTGTCATGTCACCCCTGGGCCTTCTTTTCTCTAGACTTGCCATACCCAAATTCTGCAACTGTTCTTCGTATCCCAAAGGTGCTTTTTCTTTTTCTCTCTCTCAAGAGGGACCTGGACTTTCTGGTTTTTCTTTGAGGACATTTCGCTTCTCATCCAAGGAGCTTCTGAGTGGATGGTGGTGGAAGAAGCAGTTTGGATGAGAAGCGAAATGTCTTCAAAGAAAAACCAGAAAGTCCAGGTCCCTCTTGAGAGAGATAAAAAAAAAAGCACCTTTGGGACAACCAGCACCTGGATGACTGAGAATCTCCCTAGAACATTCTTCCTATGTTTTGGTCTCCATACCTTTAATCACCTGAGTTGCTCGTCTTTGCACTTTTCCCAAAGTCTCAACATCTTTTTGGACCCAAAACTGGATGCGGCATTCCAGGGGTGGCCTCACTAAGGCTTTAAAAAGTGGTCCTGGAACTCCACTGAAGGGCTGCTGGGTTCTGGGGAGCCCCCTGGAGAAGGTGCAGCCAGCTGCAGTGGCTGCCGTAGGAGCCGCTCTGACCCCCTCTCGGCAGGCTGCGGGTGGCTTGGAAGGAGTTTGTTTGTTTGTTTGGTTTGGTTTGTCAAGCAGGTATGAGAAAACAAGCATAAGTATGAACATAACATATAAACATATAAGTATAAACAGGTATAAGTCTATACATAGTAAACGAGTATGAATCAATGGGAACAGTAGGACAGGGACGGTGGGCACGCTGGTGCACTTATGCCCACCCCCTTACAGGCCTCTTAGGAGCAGAGTGAGGTCCATGGTTAAAATTTGGGGGGGTTGAGGCTGTAACAACAGAGTCAGGTAGTGAGTTCCAGGCGTTGACCACTCTGTTGCTGAAGTCGTATTTTCTGCCATCAAGTTTGGACCGGTTTACTTTGAGTTTGTATCTATTGTTTGCCCGTGTATTGTTGTGGTTGAAGCTGAAGTAGTCACTGACAGGTAGGACGTTGTAGCAGACAATTTTGTGTACTAAGCTTAGGTCAGACCGTAGGCGGCGTAGTTCTGTCCAGGTCCAAAATTTTGAGCCTGGTATTCTATTGCGAGCATAGGAGTGGAGTCAGGGGTGGGATTCTACCGGTTTGGACCGGTTCTATAGAACCGGTTGCTACGATTCTGCACAGTTTGGAGAACCAGCAAATCGTGTCCCTGGCTGGCCCCTCCTCTCCCTGCCCAGTCAATCCTTATCTTGCATGTGTGACATTGCATGCATGCCCAACATCGCTGACTGTGTTCTCACCTGCCCAGTCGCTCCTTAAGATGTTTCTCTTTTTTTCCCCTCCCTACAATCAGCTGTTCCGATGATCAGCTGTGCCGGGATCCCCCTCGCTGTCTTACTGCTTCGCCCAGGCGGCTTCCTTGAGGCCCAGGAGGCAAAAAATGCGGGGGGGGGGGGGATGCTACAAAAAAGAAGAAGCCATGTACACCCCGTCACATAGTCATAGAACCAATAGTAAAAATATTTGCAATCCACCTGAGTGGAGGACTCTTCTCACGAAATACAGTGTGGATTCCAGGCAGATGAGCTGTATTCGAGAATTGGCCTAGTGAAGGTTTTGTATGCCCTGGTTTGCAGTACAGTGTTACCAGTCGACGGCAGGAGAAGGGTGCCCTGAAGGTCATCCAGACGCCCTTCTGTCCCTGGCTTCATGCAGAGACTTTTGATTTCGGAGATCATCAGAAAGAATCTCGCTCGCCCAGCCGATCTTGACCAATCTTGCGGCATAGCACCAATGGGGGGGTGGGGTCCTTGGTGCTCTCTGAGCTTGGTGGGTTTTTTGGAGACTTCTCATAACCCACCTATGTAACATCATCAGTACTAAAATAAGGGAGTGGGGATTGTTTTATATGTCACCTATCTTGTTGGTGTTGTTGGAAGTGTTTGTGGTGGTTCCTTTATTAGGCTGTTGTTTACCCCTGATTGATTGTTTGTCTGAGTTGGTAGTTTCTTGATTGGGGTGTATAAACAGAGGAAACCCTGTTTCTTTCAAACACTGATGATGTCCCCTAGCTGGGTCACGAAACGTCTGCAAGAAAACCACCCAGCTCATAGAGCACCCAGGAACCGCACAGTTCAACCCCGAGCTACAACTATGCTCTCAATAGCACCCCTCCCCCCTCAGCGGGGCAGCCCAGTCCTGGCTGGTGCTGAGCCAAGGCCAAACCACCCACCCACTTGGCCTGAAGCTAGTTAGGGTGCAAAGAAGCCTGACCCACAGCTGCCGCCTTCCTTTCCCCCTCCCAGGGGTGGGGCTGCAGGCAAGGCGGGCGGGGGGGGGGGGCCCTGGAGCCCTTTGGGGGGAGCGAGGCATTGGTTGCTCCTCCCTGGGCTCGTGGTGGGGGTCCCCATCTCATACCAGCCTCTTCCCCACCCACAGCACTCTGATATGGTGATGACAAGCGCAGGGGTGATCAAGAAAGTGGGCCGGAAGGTGTCGGGCATCACCACCCAGTTCTCCCCAAGTCCCAAGCAAAACCTGGAAAAGGCCCGGAGGTAAGTGGGCAGATCAGCCAGGCGCCGTCCCCCGGTCCCCCCCCCGGGTCTGTTTGGGTCAGGCTCCATCCTCAGATTGGCTTCTCTCCTGACTTCGGGCTAAAGTCAGCTTGTTGCTTCCTGGCCCATGGTCGGGCGGGGTCTGCAGGGCAGGTTCAGGCTGACTGCCTGACGGGCACTGAGGACCAGGGCGGCTGGACAGGGCAGCCTGTGACCCCGAGAGCGAGAGGGGTCCGGAGAGACGCTGGCGACCCCTTTCTCGGAGGCTTTCAGTTCTTTTTAATGACCCCATTGGCCTTAGTCTGAATTTCCATTCAGGGGTGGTGCACAGGGGGGCCCTTGGCAGGAGAGGACCCACCTGTCTGAGAAGTGGGAGTGGGACATCCGGGGAAGGAGGAGGGGGGTGCGGTTGGGTGAGAGTCAAGCCCCCCACCCACCAGGACGGGCTTTAGCCAAGCCAGCGCTGCTCCCTTTCCTCTCGGAAGGGTCCCTGGGGCAACCCCCCGCAATCCGGGGCGGGGGTTTTGAGGGGCGGAGGGTCCCTTCCCTGACCGGCCTCTCCTCCTGCGCCAGAGTCTCCTTCCAAGCGCAGCAGCAGAGCCTGGAGGACACGTCGGGCCTCTCCAGCGACATTAAAGGTGAGCGCTGCCCGACAGGCATCCCAGCCCCGGGGGAGCCGGGAGGGGGGCGCAACGGGGACTTTTTCCGTCCGAATGCCGGGCAGCAGAAGGGCGGGAGCGGCCCTGCAGTGGCACTAGACTGCCACCCGGGGGCGCCCCAAAGCACCGCCCTACCCCCGGGACCCCTTCCCAACCTACCCACCGGCTTCTGCCCGGCAGTCCTCTACTACGACCTGCCTCCGCCGCTGGTGTGCGCCCGCTGCAAGGGCCGGCTGCCCAGGACCGAGCCGCGGAAGTGCCGCCTGGACGCCCGGCGCGCCGACTCGGAGGTGGAGCTGGCGCCCTGGATGGACCGGAGGACCCACGGCCTCTGGCAGCAGGAGACGCCCACCTGGCTGCAGCCCCCCTGCCGCCTCAGCTGCCTCGCCGCCGCCGGCTGGAAATAGGGCGGGCCGGGCCGGGGCGGGACCCCGGCGGGGCGCACGGCCGCCCGGACACGCCGCCGCCGCCGCCCAAGCGGGACGAGAAGCGTCTGGCGGCGCCAGAGCGCGAAAGGAATAAATAAAGCTGCCGGCTGGACCCGACCCAGGAGTGGCGCCCGCTTGCCGAGGAGGCGGGGAGGGCGGTCGGGGGCAGCTAACTCTGCTGGATGTCTTTGGGCGCAGCCAAGGCGGGGAGGGGGTGCGGGGGCTTCTAATACCCCCCAACCCTCCTCCCGCCTGCCTCCCCCCTCCCTCAACTTTTTCTGCCTCCCCGTCACCTGGAAACGGTGCCTCAACTGTTGAGGGGGACCCTCTGAGTGGGCTGGGGTCCCTCCCTTGCCCAGGGCAGGTGGCAGATGCCCACCAAGGGGGCGACCCCCCTCCAGGATCTGCTTTTGGGTGGAGGAAGGGAAGTTGGTGTTGAGCAGCGTCTTGCAGCCAGGTGGGGAGGCTTCATCCGGAGCATCCCCCAGAAAAGGGGGACCAGGAGGGGGCTTGGCCCTGGGCCTGGCTTTGGAGGCAGCCGCTGAGCGAGTCTCTCCCCCCACCCCCAGATGAAGGAGTCCAAATGTGGGGAAGGGGGGCTGGGGGGGGCGAGATGCTGCTTTCCCCCTCCGCATAACCTTAGGGTTAGGGTCCCCCCTTCCCTTTCACCCCCCCAGTAATCCAAAGGAAGGTCAAACCAATTTGGGGTTTGCGCCGGCCTGCAAGGGAGGGAGGCTCCTCTGCTGCTGCTGCTGCTGCTGCCAGAGCTGCCATCCTCTGGGTGGGTGGGGAAGCCAGGGGCCCCGAAAGGAAGCTTAGGGCCACCCTGAGACCTCAGCTCACCACCCCAAGGCCAGGGGGCCCGAGAGACCCAGCCCTCCCTGGCAGGGAGAGTCACCCCAACCGCCATGTGCACTGGACAAGCGGGAGGGGGACGGGTGGAGCAGGAGGGGGGGTGGACCGGAAGGTCTTTGGCCTGCAAAACCTCAGCTCTGGCTTTGATCTCCTGTAGCCACTTGACTTGCAAAAGAATAAAGGAAATCAGGAAGCGTAAAAGTGTCCTCTTTGCTGCCATTGGGGTCCAGAGTCTCCCTTTCCTGGAAGACCAGGCTGGGCCGGACTGACCGCTGCACCTTCAGGGGAGGGAGGGGGGAAAGGAAGCGGCTTTCCCTGCCTTCCAAGAGGGCCGGGAGGAATTCTCTGGCCTGGCAAAGCTCTCCAGCTCCCAGCCTTTCCCAGCTTTTGCAGCTGAGCTGGGTGGTCCTGCCTGGCTGGGAGGAGCCCCCCTCCCCCTCCCCACGCCGGACCCCTCCTGGCTTGCAGTTCTGGGAGGGGCAGCAGGTGCTCCCAGGCCCCCCTGCCTGATGGGGCAGCCCCTTCCCCAGGCTAGGAAGGCCAGCCAGCCCCTGCAGCTGCTGCCTGAAAGCTCAGCCGGCGGCTTCCCTCCCGACTGGCAAGCAAAGCCTCCCTCCGTGCAGGCATCCGGATCCTAGGAGACGGGCCTCCTCCTCATCTGCCTTCCCACAAGCTGCTCCAGGCATCTCTTTCTGGCCTTCCTCCCCGTCCTGAGGCTGGAATCTCCAGACGTGGCAGGCTGGGTCAGGCGGGGCCATCCCTCCGGCTCGGGGTGGAGGAGGAGGAGGAGGAGGAGGAAGCCTCTTCAGCAGCCGGTCCTGCAGCCTCAGAAATAGAGCCCCCCCTTCTCCACCCCCCCTTTCTATGCCTAAGGAGGTTGTGTCGCCTTCCAGGTGCCTCCCAGCATTTGCCCCTTTCCCGCCCAGGTTTTCGTGGTCTCAGGCTGAGCCGCCTGCCCTCCCTTGGAAATCTCCACACCTTTGGCACAAAACCAGCTCCGAATCAGACTGACAGAGCTGGACGGGACCCTGGAGGCCTTCTAGTCCAGCCCCCTGCTCAAACAGGAGACCCTCTACCATGTCAGATGGGTGGCTGTCCAGCCTCTTCTCGAACCCCTCCAGTGGTGAAGCGCCCACAACCTCTGTTCCCCTGGTTAATGGTTCTCTCAGTCTGGGAGTTTCTCCTGAATTCCGGGTTCCTTCCCTCCTGGATTGGCTTCCATCCACTCCGTCCTGTCCGGCCCTCGGGGGGCTTTGGAGAGCAGCTTGACCCCCCCCTCTTCTCTGGGGCAGCCCCCCAAAGACTGGAAGGCTGCTACCGGCCCCCCTCCCTCTTTCAGGCCCCAATCCGGCCCCCATTCTTCATAGCTTTTGCCTCTTTGAGCAGCCCCTCCTGCCTCTCTCTGCTACGGGAGACGTGTTGATGGGGGGAGGGGGGCAGGGACCCTTCCCACGGGGGGGGGGGCTGAACCCACAGCCCCTCCCCTTCTCCTGACCTTTCACCTGGGCTAATGTCGGGCGGTTTCCCTTGCCGATGTGCAGTTCCTAGGATCCCGAAGCAGCACATCTGGAGCACATCAGCTCGGGACAATCTGCCCCACCTCTTGGAGGGAGAGCGTTGATCCCCCGCATTTTGGCACAAACAGGCCGCGGAGCCTCCAAATCCCGACGATTGTGCTGCATTCTGGGGTGGGACCTCCGGCCGCTTGGCTTCCCCGCTGCTCGTCTGTGTTCCTGCCTCTCTCAAAGGGGCTTTTCCCAAAAGGCAACCGGAGGCCTCTGGTTCCTTTCCTGGGAGGCCTTTTGCTTCTCCTCCCGGAAGCTTCTTCGGTTCTTCTCGGGTGAGAAGCGAAACGTTTTCAAGGGGAACAAACGGAGAAAGTCCAGTTTGGAGAAAGCGCCTTTGGGGCAGCCGTGGCTCGAATGCTGGAGGCCCTCTGGGGGAGCCCTCTGCTCCTCCTCCTCCTCCCTCCAATTAAGGGAGGGGTCTGGAGAGAAACCCCTGCGGTGGGCTCCAAGGGGGGAGGGAGGGAGGGAGGGGAGAGTTGGGGAGGGGGAGGGAGGGTTTCCTGTTGCACCCGATTTTCCTGACCACCTGAGATCTGTCCTCAACTTACAAGAGCTCACTTAGTGGCCTTGTGAAGTTACAAGGGCCCTGCAAGGAGTGACCCAGGCCCATTCCCCCCCCCCCGGTGACCGTTGCAGCCTCCCTGGGGTCGCAGGACACCAATGCAGTCCCTTGGCATCCGGTTCGTGTTTATGAGGGCGGCCGTCTCCGGGGTCAAGGGACCCCCTTTGGTGACCTTCTGACCAGCCAAATCCAGGAGGACATGGAACAACCGGGCCCGCTTCACTTAACGACTGTGGCGATTCACTTAACAATGGTGGCCAGAAAGGCCATAGAAAGGGCCAGACTCCCTGGACCTCCGCCTGGCTCAGCCATGGGAACGTGGTCCTTGACTGGGATCCCGGGTGGAAGTCCAGCTGTGGCCAGAGAGTCCTGGGCTCATGTGGGCCTTGTGAAGCTGGGCTGATACGCGGACAAGGGGATTCCCCCCCCCCCACCCCCCCCCACACACCCAGTGAGCCAGGCTGGGTCTGGACTCCTCCAGGGGGTGTCCTGCCTGTCCTCAGAGGCCGCTGGACAGATTGGATCAGGGTCTCCAACCGCGGCCACTTTAATTCCCAGAAGCCGGCTGAGGAATTCTGGGAGTTGAAGTCCACAAGTCTTACAAGTGGCCAAGGTTGGAGGCCCCTGGACCGGACCAAGGCAAGGATATGGGCAGGGGGCGAAGCAGGCGGTGTCCAGCATCCATCTCCACTTATCTGGCCCACCCCACTGCGTCCTGAGCCCCCCCTCCCCCCAGGCAGAGGGGGAGGGAGTGGGCTTCTCAGCAGGAGGGAAAAAAGAAGGGAGGGGGGACTCCAATCAATCGCTTCAGCTGAACTTCCCCTCACATTGAAACCACAAGGACCATCCAGCTGTTCCCGAAGCCGAATCCAGCAGCTCATCTTGAAGCTGGATTCTTCCTGGCTTCAGAGGCTGCCGAGTGTCCAGCTGTGGCCGGGTCCCCCTGCACCCTGTTTCCCAGCCAAGGTGGCTGGACCGACTCCCAGAATTCCCCAGCCAGCGTTTAAAGTCCACCCACCCAAAGCGGCCAAGGCGTAGGAAGAAGGGCCGCTGGCTGGGTGAAATGGTGTGTGTGTGTGTGTGTGTGTGTGTGTGCGTGTTTGTGCTGTACATTCTTGGCTGGGGCTTACATAAGTTGTGTTTTGAGCACAAGTTTTGTGAGTTGGCAACTCCAAGTGCAGCAAGTCCCACCAAGCAGAGCTGGGTGGATTTTATCCTCCGCAGAAGAGCCATCCTGAGCTGGGAGCCTCCCTGGGTCCCCCGGCTGGAGGTTGGACCTCCTTTCTGGGGGGGGGGGGGGGGGGGGGGGCAAGACCTCTCTCTGGAGCAAGCAGAGATGCTAGATCGATCCTCCCAAGAGGTCCAGGAAGGCAGGATACAAATGCATAAATAAACCAATAATAAAATCAGCCCAAGCACCGTGTCCTGGGATGGGACCAGAGGTGGCATTCAGCCGGTTCTGACCAGTTCTGGAGAACCGGTAGCGGAAATTTTGAGAAGTTCGGAGAACCATCCAATCCCGCCTCAGACTGGAGATTTCACAGTCTCCTCCCCCTGCCAAGCCCACCAAGCCACGCCCACAGAACCGGGAGTGAAAGAATTTGAATGCCACCACTGGATGTCGGGACGCCTGCAGTTGTGTGTTTGGGTATTTTATTGGTCCATGGAAATATGAAAGGCAGAAGTACAAATGAAAACAATGGGAAAAGGGGAGGAGAAAAAGCAAGGGGGGGGGGGGGCGCTTGCAATTGTGGTGCGCAGCAGAGTGTGGCTGACATGGCTCCGGAAAGACCCCCGGCCCCCCTCCCCCCCTCCTGTTTTCATCCCAGGGATCCAAGCGCAGCCTTGCAGGCGGGTGGGGGGGAGGGGGGAGAGCTGGCAGCTGAAGGCCTGGGTGCCCCTCCCGCCAGCAGGTCCCGGTGCCAAAAATGGGAGGGGCATCTCCCTCCCCCTTTCCTTGCGCATGGAGCCCCCAACCTCCCTCCCTCCCTCCCTCCTTGCCAAGTCAGGAAGAGCTGGGGAGGCAGAGCTTTTGGCTCCCCTCCGGTTCGGCTGCCTCCCACGCTGCAGAGGGGCTCTTGGGCGCTTTGCACGAAGAGGAGGGTCCTCTGGGGGGGGTGAGGGTGACCCCCAAAGCCCTCGGGGGATGATCCCAGAGAAGCCACCTAAAGGGCAGCCCCCATTCCTTCCGCTTCCCTCAAGAGGGCCAAGCACCCCCAGGAGGAGTTTCTGCCCTGGGAATGCCTCCACTTTTATCCTGCGCACAGGCAGTCCTCGCCTTACAACCATTCGTTTAGTAACGGTACAAAGTTATGACAGGACTGAAGAAGACGACTAGAAGGGCTAGAGGAGAGGACCTCCGAGGTGCCTTCCAACTCTGATATTTTATTCTGTTATCTGGGAATGAGATGGGATTTGAAGTTCTTGCGTTTCCCTGGCGCAGTTGTTTACCATTTCTCTTGTTTTGTTGGCGTGTGTTTTTTTTATCCCTTTTTCTGCTGCTAGGCGATGGAGCGAATAAAGCTTCCAGATGGCCAGCTGCCGAGGCCTGTCTAGGCGGCCTCTTGGAGAGCCAGCTGCCCCGTCTGCAGCCGCCTTCCCTGCCTCCATCTGAGACCCAGCCGTCCAGGCCGCAGGGGCCACGATTCAACCTTTGGGCTCCCCCTTACCTCTGCAGCCGGAAGGTGCCAGGACCGAGTTCAGGTCTGAGCCCCTTGCGAGGCCTCCAACTGGCCAGCCCGTCTTTGGTGGCTGCCAGGGCCCCCTTGCCTATCTAGGAGAGCCCAGAGCAGCCCCGTCCTGGGCGGGGGGCAGAGGGGGCCACCTACACTTGGGGTGTGTGTGTGTGTGTGTGTGGAAGATTCCAGGCAGCCTCTGTTCCTGGGCAACTTCTGTGCTCTGCCCCCTTTATGGGTATTACGTAGGCAACCTGTGTAAAAAGGGGCTTTCATTGTGTGGTGGCAGCTGTGGGCTTCTAACCGTTGGTGGCACTGGCTATGCCCTGGCTCGGGAGGCTGATTTAGGGTCTCCGGGAGAAGCCAAGGACCCCCCCCCCCTCCTCCTCTGCCCCAGCAGCCCCAGAACGGAGGGGCTTTGGAGAAAACCACTTTCCTTCTGAAACAAGGGCGCCACGTTTTGTTGCCTTGGCTTGCTCTAGGGCTGCCCCCTTCCTTAGGCTTCCTTGAGAGTAAACCCCATCAGACTCCCAGGAAGTTTGGGGACCGTTTGTCCCAAACAGCGGCCGACTCCCTCGTCCATTGTTCAAAACAAACAGGAGAGCCCCCACCCACTGGTGTGCCGCTCTTTGGAAGCGAAGGAGGAGGAGGAGGAGGAGGCCGAAGCAGCAGCAGAGCTGACTGCTTGGAGGGCTGAATATTTTGCATAGTTGGAATTGCTCGCCCAAGAAGCAGCTCCGGCCGTCTGGGCTGCCTCCACCAGGAAGATTAACGGGGATCCTGGAGCCAAAGAGGCTTCTGGGCTGCCTGGTGTTTCCATCGCCAGATGCTGCTGGCCTCCCCAGGCCTGTCGAGGAAAGAGGCTGGGGGGAGCCCTTCGCCTGGCCCCAGGTGGGCCGGGGTGGGAAGGAAGGGCTGGTCAGAAGGCTTCCCGGCAGCCTCAGGCCTTCTTGATATACAGGCAGTCCTCGACTTACAACCACAACTGAGCCCCAAATTTCTGTTGCTAAGTGAGACATTGGTTCAGTGAGTTTTGCCCCATTTTACAACCTTTTCTTTCTTGCCGCAGCCATTAAGTGAATCGGTGCACTTCAGAGGTGGGATTCAGCCGGTTCTGATCAGTTCTGGAGAACCAGTAGCAGAAATGTTGAGTCGTTCAGAGAACCGGCCAATCCTGCCTCCGACTGGCTCCACCAACCCCGTCTCTTCTCTGCCTCCCATCGAGTCCCAGCTGATCGGCTGGGTCTCCTTTGGTTGCCCTGCACAGGAGAAGGGAGCTGGAAAGCAGGTCAGTGGGTGGGGAGGGGAGGGGGATTTTGCAGTATTCTTACTCTGCCACACCCACCAAGCCACGCCCACCAAGCCACGCCCACAGAACCGGTAGTAAAAGAATTTGCATCCCACCCCTGGTGCAGTTCTTAAGTGAGTCAGATGGTCATTAAGTGAATCTGGCTTCCCCTGTTGACCTTGCTGGTCAGAAGGTCGCAAAAGGGGACCATGTGACCCCGATCGCTGTGACCGTCATAAATGTGAACCAGTTGCCAAGTGCCTGAATTCTGATCACGTGACCGTGGGGGAGGCAGCGGCGGTCGTAAATGGGGAAAACGTCACTTTCCCCAGAGCCATCGTAACTTCACATGGTCACTAAGCAAACGGATGTAAGGGGGGGGGGGGGTTTGCCTGCATCACGTCTGTCCTTTATTACGATTTGGATGATATGCGAAGAGTTGACTGAGCCACAGCAGCCCAGGCTCCCCCCCCCCCCCCCGTGTCTCCGGGGGGGGTTGGATTCTGAATGAAGGCGGACGGGACGGACAAGCGATTGGGGCCTGGGCGACCTCAGGAAAGTGGACCCCTTGCAAGGGGAGGGGGCCCAGGGTGGCCCCAGAGGGGGCTCAGGCAGCCCACGGCTACTGCAGACCCCCTTGTGGGGAGAAAGCCCCCTCCCCAGAGGGGCACAGGGGCTGCGGCCTCTACTCTGGGATCAAAGGGACCCCGAAGTGAAGGCCCTGGAGCCTGGGGAAAGAAAGGGAAGGCGGTCAGCAGAAGCTCTCGGCCCTCCAGGTCACGGCTGCAGCCCCAAAGGTGCTTTTCAAAAGACAACTGGACTTTCTTGGGTTTTTTTTTTTCATGAAGACACTTCACCTCTCATCCCAGAGGCTTCTTCACTTCTGCAGTCTTCTTCAGAACTGAAGAAGCTTCTGGGATGAGACGTGAAACGTTTTCAAGGGGGAAAAAAGCAGGAACGTCCAGCTGCCTTTTGGAAAGCACCTCTGGGACGAGGGGAAGGCAGCTAAACAGGCCTGGCCAGGGAGCCGACCGAGCGCAGGGGCAGCTGGAGGGCTGGGCCTGCTGGGGCCGTGGGACGGGTTGGCCATCTCCCTGACCTGACGGGAGTTCTTGCGCACAGGTCAAATACCTGCACACCTGGTTCGACTGAGGGGCGTGGAAGCGGAGGGGCACCTGGCTGCCAGCTGACCCTCTTGGCTCTCTGGATGAGTCCTGGGTTAGAAGGCGGCATTTGGAGGGCAACTTCTGGTAGCCGAGAGCTGCCCTTTGGGGCACCTTTTCTCCCAACTGGGAAGGGAGGGGGCTCCGCATCATCCTGGCCTTTGGGAGGAAGCTACAGCCAACGGGGGGGGGGGGGTGCTGGTGGGTCTTGCGGCCCAGCCCCCACCCCTTCGTCCTGGAGCCTTATCTTGCAGGCCCCTTTGATGCCTCACTCGAGGGCAGCTGCGGAGGGCAGAGACCTCCTGTCTCTCTTCATCTGAAGCAGACACAGAACATTTGGGCTCCCTGACAGGCGAGGAGGCAGGCAGCAACTCACCCAGGAGACGAATGACCAGGGGGGAGGACCTTCCGAAAGAGGCCAGCTGGTCCTCGGAGAGGCAAACGGGGGTCCCGAAGAGGCTCACCAGGCATGGGACCACATGTCCACGGAGGTTCTCTGTCACTCAGTCAGGGGGGTCCCAAGGGTGCTTTTTCAAAAGGCCACTGGACCGTCCTGGTTTTCCCTGGAAGAAAACCCTCTTCAGTTCAGAACGGAAGAAGCTTCTGGGATGAGAAGCGATGGGTCTTCAAGGCAAAACAAAGTCCACTTGCCTTTGAAAAAGCACCGGGGAGGGCCCAGGGCTAAACCTCATGCCGTTTTTTCATATAATTTTGATATATTGACCCCCCCTCCCCCCTTTAGTAGCTAAATGAAAAAAGATCTTCCGGAGCCAGCTTGGCCAGCAGGCTGCCTGGGGAGGGGGGGGCGGTGGAGGAGGACGGGGGGGGGGGGGGGGCGGGGGCAGGCCGGCTTATAAAGCCCGGGGAAGCCGCTCCTCTCTTCTTCTCTCCGGTTCGGCTGCCCAGGGTTTGCTCTCCTCCCGGCGCGACAGGACCGGTGAGTGCCTCCCGTCCTCTTCCGACTCCTCGCGGCTTCCGATGGAGCGCAGGGGGCGAGTGGAAGGGGCCGCTGTTTTGGCCGCCCCCTCCCGCCCCTTTGGGGGCCAGGCTCAGCAGAGGCTTCCCTCGGGGAGGGGGCAGCTGTGACCGCCAGCGGGCAGCCCGGCCAGGAGGCCCGCGCGCTCGGCTGGCGGAGGGTGGGCTTTCCGTGGCTTTCCCGGCTCCAGAGCCCCCCCCCCCCCCCC